AACATTTGACAATGCTGACAGTGTTTCCGATTTTCCTTTCCATTTCTTCTAGCACGTTGTGTTTTTATTTAAGTTTTTGTTGGCCTGGATGATACCCGATGTTCCGAAAGATGTTGTGGAGAGAATCAAGCGAGAAAAGTTAATGACTGTCAAGATTCTCCATGACTTTGAGCTCAACAAATTAAAAGAGAACTTGGGACTTGATTCTAATGATTTTGTCAAGCAAGTTATGATTGAGGAAAACAAAGTACAACTTGCTTAACCAACAGTCTAGCCGGCATAATGAGCAAAAGGCTGCTTGCCCATCTCATGTCATGGTTTTCCCTGGGCTTAGGCCCAGAGCCCAGAAGCCTTGTGTCAGTTTTACCCTTTTTTTTAATTTTTTTTTTCTAACTCAAGAGTTTTTATACACTTTTGTAGAATCCAAATTTGTGATGTTGGAAAAGTATGACTTGTCTGCTTTATTGGCCGGGCCTTCCTACACGGTGTTTTCTGAGGTCCTAGAATGATCGTTGAAAGTACATGTGGAATCATGGAATGTCGCAGTTGGTAATGAAACACTGGAGTGGGCTGTCCCTTCCTTTTCCAGTGCATCTGCACATTTTTATGGTCCTCTGGAGTGTTTTAGGTCTCCTTCCCTTCAAGAAAATTGTTGGGACAGAAAGAAAGGGAGCAACGAGGCCTACTAAACCACACATACCTGCCATTTAAGAATTTACAAATAAAAATGCAAAATCAGGTGACATCTGAAAACTCACAGATTAAGGAATAGTAGGTAAATATCATAGTGGGGTTTGTTCCTGATACTGTCCTGAATAAGTCAAATGTCCATCAGAATCACAAATAGTCCTTCCAGGTAAATGCAGAATTCATTTTTTTTAATAAGAAATCAAACTTTTGGATTTTAACAAAAGTCTAACAATTTGGTTTTTAAAAATAACATTTTGGTAACAGTAGTTTTAAAACTATGGGTTGTCTTATGTAGAAAACAGCATTTACAAAGATTAGTTCAGGTATTCTAGTGAATGACAGCTATTATAGATTGGTAAGAGTACTTTCTTAAAGAAATGCAAAACAGTGCATATTGATTAATTTATTGATATTAATCTAGAAAATTGTTGAATTACTTTTTTGTAAATCACTTTTTTTCCTGGAATGCCTATTTTGCATCATGAAGCTTTTACAACACTAGCTATTTGTGTAAGTTAAATACAAGTTGTTTGTGAAATATAATCTCTTTGCTTTAAAAAAAACTCTCAAATCTTTTAGTGAGTTTTCAGCCTTTTCTATGAATGCAGCAGCTTATACAATGCTCAGTGCCTTGTTCCTACACCTTGGACACATAAAAAGTTGTATCGATAACTTGTTTTGTTGTGATATAATATCTTAAATGGAAGCTCATTTTAGAGAAAATGTCAGTGTGGCAACAATAGAGTTTAACACCAAATGAGAATCAGCCAAACAAGAGTGAGGTGATGACCTTGATATCTAAGTTAAAAAATATTTTTGTTGAATTCTTATTCTCAAATGTAGGCTTGTGGAATGTGCACAATGATTTTTTATTCTTTTACTTGAAAGATTAGGGGTGTGTGTGTGTACACATAAATACATACATACTTACATATATGTGAGATATGCATGCATGTACATCGCTGCCACTAGAGTGAAACACACAGTCCGATGATACACTGCTAACATCTCTGGGATGAAATTACCATTCAGTACCATGAGAATAGTGTCTTTTGCACACACACACAAAAAGAAACTTGATCGAAGGATGTTTTTTGAGTTTCATTGCCTGATGCTAATCACTTTTTATGGCATTGCCAGTGTTAACATATATGGAACACAGTATTAACTACTGAACAAAATTAAGCATTGAAATGGGGGATTATTGATTTTATAAAACTATGAGATGGTATCTCAGTATTGGCAGAACCTATTTGTCAACCACTGGGTATATATAGTGTGAATGATTTGGGTAACAAGAAAAGATCTGTTCATTGAAAGATGGTTTTCTGTGTGGAGGAGAGAGATTTTTTGCTTGAGGGAACCACTCAGGGTTGCGTGGAGTAAACCACAGGGCAGTGCCTTTGGCTTGTCACATCGTACCCTGTTGCTATGGTGTACACTGCACACAGGACCCACTGCTTCATTCCTGGGTACTGCTGGGGACTGATTAAAATAAGAGCATACAAATTGGTATTTTGGATATCAGCTTTAATTTTTATGGCTTAAAAGTATCTATAGAGGTCGATCATAATATGAATAAAAATGAATTTAACTAACAAACTTACCTGCACACTGCATTTTTAAAACAAACCAACTCAAGTGTTGGGTTTTTGGACTGAATGGAGAAACTAGCAAGGGGGTTAAAGATGAGAAAATAATTCACACTTCCTATAGATGATGAATATTTTCCTTTTAAAATATTGACAAATACTGTATCTTCACCTTTTATTGATCATTTATGAAGGTCTTGCTCCTTGTTTCAGAGATTTTAAAATGAAATACAAGTATCCGCTACTTTTCTGATTCAGATCAATCTTTTGTCTTATCTAAATAAACTCATTGTTTATTACAGAGTGTGAGGGCTTAATTAAGAGCAAATGACTGCCAATACATGTTAATATCTACCAGCATGGCAGGTGTTTCTATATTTCAATCAAACTCATAGTAAGTCTTTAGATTTTTTAGAAATGTTGCAGGGGACATTTGACATCTTATATAAAATAAAATTTGAATGTCAAAGCAAAAAAAAAAAAAGCTTTTTATTTGGCTGTAGGGTGCATGCACCCAGCAGAGAGACCGAAAGAGACAGAGAAAGAGAAAGCAAGAAATCACCCCCTGAGGGCGGCGATGGCCACACTGAAATCCTTTCCCCATTCTCCTCTCAGGATCTTGGGTACATATGCACACCCACAAGCCCAGCGTGAGTTTCAAGCTGCTGAGTCAGGGACTAGAACCATGATCAACTATGTGGAAGTTCAGGACCTTAACCACTGTGCCACCTGTTGGTCTCTACATCACTCTTTTTCAAATATCCTTCATCAGTTTTTCTTCTCATACAAGAAATAAAGTGCACTTCAAAGCATTTGTTCTAGAGAAGCCTATCCGGAAGGAGAGTCTTCATTATATGAGTCTTGTTTTTGTTGAATCTCATGATTCCTCCTAGTTTCAACACTCTTCTTCTAACCCAGCCATTAACAGGATTTATTAAAAAAAATAAATAAAATAAAAATAAAATAAAATAAAAAACAGGAGGATGGGAAATAGAAGAAAGAGAAAAAGTGAGTCCCTTCTTTATGAGTCCTTTCTGTTTCTATGGGAGACAGAAATGTTGTGAGGAGACTTTGTACCACTGTGGGTGGTAGGAAGCATACCTCTTTCCCAAGCCATCGAAGGAGGGTGAGAGAAAAGCTAAAGAAACTTTATATTGGTAACTGTTATGTGTGAAAAGTAAAACTTTGATTCCGAAGTGATTTTGTAGTGTCAAATGCTCTGAGTAGCTAAGGATCTGCGGATTGACTGCAGTTGAGAGTGAAGAGTAGTGCTCATTCAAAAGTGGAATCTATTGTTTTGAATGAACCTGTGTCATATTTGTTTCAAAGTGTTCGTGATTAATATGCATTTGAAAAATGATATTATGGAAAATAGCATTGCAAGAAAAACCATTGACCAGGCATGGAAGTCAACCAGAATGAATCGCTATAACTATCGTGGTGTTCTTTTTAAGACAGTGTTTTCTAATTTATGTGTAATAATTCAAGAATAGCTGTTACTTAGCGTTATGTAAAAAGTGATGAGAATGTTACTCTTTTCAGCATGACATAATGTGTGTGACATATTTTCTTCTAAACCTCCAAAATGTTAGACGTGGTATATTCCTCCTGTGCTTGGGATTATGTGCCCTGGTGTTAACCCAGAAAATTACTACTCAATTTTCTTTTATTTTCTCTTATTTAATTGTTCCTTGGTGGAAAGGTGGTTATGCAGGCAGGCAGGGAAAATTTTCTTAAGTAACACGTACATAAATCTTAAAGAGATTCTAATTCACACAGCAAATAAAAGCAATATTTCATTTTAAACTACATTTTGACATATATTTTTTTAAATTACCCATGTATTTCTCCCATGAGAGAGAGACAGAGAGGAAAAAAAGAGGTGCAGTCCCCCCAACAGGGTCTCCATACTGTGATCCATGGATGAAATACCAGGACTGGACCCTTGGGGGTTCAGTGTTTCCAGTGTGCTACAACTTGGTCCCTAATTCAATTAATTTTTATGATAAAATATTGATATAATTTTTCAGCGTTCTACTGCCCTTAAGAGAGATTTTTAAGTCATTTTGTTGCTTAGAAATATTAAATATGTATGACATTTTTGGCTCATAAAATAACATGTTCGACACATTTAGAAAATGCTTAACTAAGAAGCTATAGATAGTTCAGGAAAATTAAAGAAGGTGGTAGTTTTTGTTTCTTAATTTTTTTCTACTTTGGAAACAATGAGGTGAAGAGAGAGGCCTCAGGAGAAAATAGGTTAAAATAGTTTCCATTATTTTTTTGTAATTCCTTCTTTCTGAAAAATAAGTTCATGGCTTCTTCATCAGAATTACCTGGACTGCATGTTAGAAACACCTATCTTCAAGTCCTGTCTCAGATTTCTGGAAACAGGGTCTGTGAGAGAGAAGCTTTTAAAAACCTCCAAGGTTCCTCTCTGTGGAGTATAGACTCATGAGAGTTTAATAAAATGCCAAAATCCGTAGTCTAAACCATTTTTATAGTTATTTTTAAATATCACCTCATCCCATTAGGGAAGTGTGGCAAGGCATGCTGAGTCAAGTTTTCCAAATTTGTGCAGCTACTCAGCTCCTACTTTGCATAGGAGTAATTGAAATCTGGAAGAGCCCCAGACCTTTAGCCTACTTATTAAGAAGAAAAAGTATTGCATTAAATGTATTTGCTTTTGCCAATATAGTCAAGGAAAGAAAAATACAGACTGTCCCAAAAGTAGGGTGAGTATGTTACAATCTTAAGTATTTTATAGAACAAATTGAGTATCAGGATTTAATCAAGAAAGCAAAACTACTCAAGATATTTTGGAATAAAGAATTTGTTATGAAACGTAAGTATTTTGAAATTGTGGAAGGAAATGAACAAGTCTGGTGCTTTTTTTTTTTTTTTTTTTTTTGAGAGAGAGTTTGTTGTTTTTATTGGGCACATTCACTCGCCAGAGATACAAGAGAGAGAGCAATAGAAACGGAGAAATCACTTCTGGGGGGGCGGGTGGACATTCTGCAATCCATTCTCCTCTCAGGATCTTGGGCATGCACGCGCACATGCCCAGCATGAGTTTCAAGTCACCGGGTCTGGGACTTGAATCACTGTCGACTACCTGGGAGTCCAGTGATGTAACCGCTATGCTATCTGATAGTCCAAGGAAATGAGGAATAAATCTGGAAGGAGGATTTGGAGGATCGGAGGAAAGACACATTCAGTTCTCCTGAAACACTGCCATGGTTAAACAAATAGGAGCTTGTGGGGCATATCCAGATGATTTAGCCTGGGAAGGAATGCTCGGGCAATCTATGGGAAAATGTTGCCTCTGTATAGCTGCTTGTACAAATCTTCAGCCAGGCTTCCCTCATGGACTGGGGCTGCTGCTGGACAAGAGGAGTTGGACGTGTTAAGGAACAGTGAGGAGAGGCCAGGGCTCTGTAGATAACTTCTCGTATGCCCTTACCATACTGTCCTGAAAGACTCAGAAACAGATGGCCACTACTTCACTTCTGTCTGCCTCTTGCAAATCTGACACCATATAAGAAAACACTTCAGGGAAGTGAAGTACAAGCTACCAAATACAGCCTTCTCTTACCCCCAGGAAAAAGAGAAAGACAACCTATTACATGGTCAAGAGACTTAAATACACACTTCAAAAAATATTTCTGAATAACCAATAAACATGCAAAAATAACTTTATTAATATACAGAGAACTTTAAATTAAAACACTGAACCACTCAAAGGACTAAAATTAAAGCTTGGGGAGTCTTACTGTGGTCTATTCCTTGACCTGAGGATTAAATCGTCAGATGTGCTCACTAACTTTGTAGTAAGTTATCGTTGGTACACTTAGGGTTTGTACACTATCCTCTCTAGGCAGTACTTAAATTAGGATTTGATTTTTAAGTCAGGAAAAGTATAAGAATTGCTGCTATGGTGATATACTAGTATACCCAGAAGACAAAACAGAAACAAAAACAGCTAGTACAAAGAACAAAAGGATTTATTAAATGTCTAGGCTATAAAATTATATAGCCTTCATGTACCAATAACTACCTTGTGTTATAAAGGATATTAAAGTCTTATTTATAATAAAAAAATCATTAAAAAATGTGCAATACCTATATAATGAAAATTTAAGCCAATACTGGAAAACATGAATTGACTCAAAATAGTTAAAAAGACATACATGTCTGACAAAGGACCAAACATCTTTATAAACATCAATTTTACCCATGTTGATATATGCTTTATGCAAGTAAATAAAATATTTTTTTCTTGGGGCCAAATAAATTTATGTCTAAATTAATTTGGGAAAAGTAACATAAATGCTTTTTGTATGAAAAGAGAGATTTATAGAACAGAATGGAAAATCTCAGAACAGATCAAATATGTAGGTTATGATAAGGGGAGCATTGTCCAATCATGGTAGAAAGCAAATATATGTTGTTAGGAGAGTGGAGTAGTCATGTGAAAATAGATAATGTTGGATTTACAACTAGTATCACACTTTAGAAAAAATTTCAAATGTCAGCACTCTCAATGTAAAAAAAAAAAACTCAAGTATTTGAAGAAAATAGAGATGAATGTTTGCATCAGATGAGGGAAAGCTCTTCTACACGTGACTAAAATCTAGAAGCATTAAACAATTTTTAGCAATAAAATGAAATAAATGGCAAAGTTAAAAGCGGTAAACAAAATCCAAGAGCAAGTAGTAAGACACTACAAAATATTTAGGACTTCCAGGCAAGTGACTAAGTTACCTAGTAGGTTAAGAACTCTTTAACAATTGAGGAAAGACCAAAATCCAAGAGAATATTGCATAAATATTTGAAGAGGCAAGTCATAAAAGAAGAGAAAGGCAAATAATTTCTAAATGCATAAAAATAAGCCCAACATCACTCTTCATAAGAGAGAGAAAACATGCTTCACCTAACAGACTAACAAAAATACAAATAACTGAAGCAGTGCTTCAGAAAAGTAAATTCTCCTAGTGCGACAGATAAAAGTAATGTGTTAACTCTGTCCTAGAATGGGATAAACATCAGGATACATCATTGCTTATGAGAATGAAAATGGATATAGGATGCTACCTTTTATCTTAGGAAAAAGGGGAAATACAAAGGAATGTACTTAAATGATTCTCCTTTCTGTTTCTCCTTTCTCTTCTTTTCTGTTTTCCTTCCCTTTGTTTTCCCTTCTGCAACAACACAGTCCTAAATCCAGTTAGTGAGCAAAGAAATTTAGGTGTCCAGGCTAGAGACTGGCAGCAGTGGGGACCACAGTGATGGAGAGAATAGGTGTGGAAGCCCAAACAAGGCAAGAAGAGCATCTGCATCGGAAGGCTGCTCAGTACAGGGAGTCCAAATCCATGTGGTGAGGAAAACATCCATGCAGAAGGGGGGCTTAGTGCAAGGCATCAGAGGCCAAGCAGGTCATGGAAAATATGCCAAAGATGTGCCAAAATACACCAAAACCCCTAGCCTTGGGTCTTT